TAACCAAACTAAGTTTTATTAAGCAACCTAATAAATTAAAGGTTTAAAGTGTTAAAAATTCAGTAAATTAATTAGTGTAAATTAAGTAATTATTATGGAAATTAAGTAAATCAATAATTTACAAAATTAAGTAAGATCATTAAATTAATGTGTTAATTGATGACCAATATTAAAAGGGTGGTGACATGGCATCATGAAAGAGAGAGAGAAGGGGGGGGGGGAATTGAGCTACATGGGTAGAGAGAGGGAGAGACGTGAATAGTTGTGGGTAGAGAGAGGGAGAGACGTGAATAGTTGTGGGGAGAGAGAGGGAGAGCTAAGCTAATCAAGGAGAATAGTTGTGGGTAAAGAGAGTGAGGGACGTGAATAGTTGTGGGGAGAGAGAGGGTTAGATATTATAGGTAAAATATAGATAAAGGGTGCTGAATGGGCAAAATGGGAGTGGTGGGAAGAGGAGATTTCTGTGATTTATTTGGTCACAATATATATATATATATATATATATATATATATATATATATTTCTAATCCTCTAATCCACCCATATTCTAGCCAATAAGCCTCACCTGATGATAAGAAATCAAGGGCATGTTTTTGAAACACCAACTGAGCAGTGGCTTGTTGGTATGTTATACCAACTGGTTCGCTCCAGTATTGAAGCGGAATCAATTAATGCAACCACCGATTTGGGAAAATGGGGTTATAAGTGGTGTGTGGTAGCACCAAATACTAAAAAAAGGGGCATGCTTTGAAAACTGATTTGAAAATAAAATTGCGCTTCTCTATCATGGCAGTGGGTTAGTGGTTTAACCATTGGGTTCCAATGGGTCATAGATTAAATAATGAAAAGATTAAAATACATAAAAATTATAAAATAAATTATAGAATAATTAGGCATCTTGTAGTATTATACATTTATCATATTAAACAAAAATATGTTTGATAGATGAGAATTATTGTTATTGATGATGAAAATGAATAAAAATACAAAAAAAAAGAAGAAAAAGAGAATAAATGTTTAACCCATGTCTTGCTATCGGGTCTACCAGGTTGTTGACCAAGTGATTGATTTATCTTTTATCTTTTATTTATTATTTTTTGCAAGTGAGCGATTCATGGGTAAAACGGATTAGAAATCTTGCTGCTTGATGGATCGACCAGTCTGATTGTGGAATGAAAACATTGCTTAAGGGTGGTTTGACAGTTAAACATCCTCAACCTCTTGTCCAAACTGAAAACCAAATTTAGATAAATTATGCTTTCAAAACTTTCTCTTCTTATTACCTCTTAAAAAAACAAAACTATCAATTGTTAATTCTATTCTAGATTCTTATTTCAGTTTTAACTAACCTGGGGTTGAATAGAAATTTATTTAGGTTTTGACATCAATTTGGTTACAAACCAAGGTCCATGTTCAAGGTTGGCCCTTAACCCCATTCAATTCATCTAATTCATACACATGTTTTACTAGAGAGGATTAAGAATAGTTTTATTAGAGAAGAGTAATGATGGATTTTAATAGAGAATTTAGACATAAATGGGTTTTTATGGGGAGACATGTGAGGGTTAAATGAGTTTCAAAGATATTTAATAGAAAATAAGGGGTTTAATGGAAAGAGGGGAGATGTTATAAACATTGATTATTGAAAGGGAGGAGGGTTTAAAAGTTTGATTTTATTAAAGAAGAGTAATGATAGATTTTAATAGAAAAAATTAGGACATAAGAAGGTTATTATGAGGAGACATCTTTGCACATTGAGATTTATCAAGACCTTATAATAGGAGATTAAGATAATTAATTTAAAAGTTTTATTTTTTTGTATATATAGACATAAATTAATATATCTTTTTTTGTACAACATAAATTAATATATTGGTTTGTGGGTTTGCTTGTGCACTTAATATAATCAGTTGCATAACGGATGTGGATCCAATATAATTTCATTAGGGGGTTGACCCTAACAGGCTAGGCAGTAGGCTTTGTTTCTTCACTCAACCAATTACTACTCTTCTAGAAGAAGATAATAAGTTAATATTCCAAGCAGCTTTACATCAATCTCATCACAATAATTAATGGGTTGAACACATAACGTGTTTATCTCAAGCAGAACCCACGTTGGATAAGTATTGATTCTTCACTAAAGACCCATGAAGAAAGGCTTCTAGTCAAGGTTCTAAATATTGAAACAAGGCCTGTATTGATGTTTTTTTTTTTAATATTTTATTTTATTTTATCTTTTTTAAACTGGTTCAGAGGGGTCGGTTTAAGTTCCAGCTACCCTCTGAATCATAACCTAACCCGATACATCCTGTAAGGACATATCAAGAAGGCCCCAATATGATACATATCGACTGATATGAGCTGATACATAACGATATTTTGAACCTTGTTTCTAGTACATACCTACCCATGATCTCACCTGATGTGCCATCGCTATAGATGATGAATGGGTCAATGTTTAATCGCCTCAATTGTTGAAAAACATCCAAAGACAGTACTGAAAGGCAAGTGGAGAGGGAGATTGGGACTCCTCTCAGACACATAGAGCTTAGTTATCTTGATGACATAAATGAAATAGAGCACTAACTCATATAGACCTCATCACACAGAGGATTAGGTAAAGAAGAAACATCAAACCCCACGACTTTGATTCCAAATGATCTACCTACCCAGATGACATAAAGAGAAAAAGAAACAAGAAAGATGTATATATAAACTATATGGATTTTTTCTTTGAAAATGATTGAAATCAAAACCTATCCTCATCAAGAATATAACTACAACTAGAAGAGAAGAACCTTTTTGGCTTGAATACCATGATATACTAATTAGATATTCTTAATTAATTAAGGCTTAGAAAGTTGAAACCGTGAAGAGATGTTTCTTAAAAGAAAAATGAGTAGAAATGACCTGAGCTGGAGAGGGTCAAAAACAGGGAGATATTCTTTGTTATTCAAAATAAAATAAAGAATATAAATGAAGGAACACCAACTAATATTATCTAATTTACAGTATTAATGGCGGTTTAAAGTAACTAAATTGTAAAATATTTTGACTATGTATCATTATTGGTCAAAGCTCTCAACCAGTGAAAGGGCTAGGCTGGATTTCCAGCAAAAACATGGTAATCTGATCTGGTATTTCAAGTCTATATCCAATTGTGAAGGCCTTGGCTCCACGATGCCATATGTTGACCATGCAGCATTGAATTCTGAATCTATTCAGAAATTAGCCCGGCCAAAACCTCTCTCTCTAGCTTGTCATAATATAGATTTAAAAATTATATATAAAAGAAATATAAATACATAATCCTATCTCCCAGACTTAGAAACAACAAGTTGTATGAAGAGAAAAAAGAAGGTCCTCCTTGTTCGTTTGTAATAATGCAATTTATTTGAGTAAGTGCATTTACTCAGGTAAATATTACCTAGGAAACATTCATTTGGGTAAATGCATTTATCCATGTTTTTTCTTTATTTTCAGGATTCCCAGATAAATAATAAAATGGCATTTCTATCCGCAAAAAGTAGATGCACTTACCAATGTTTTTTTGAATTTCAGGATTCCCAAATAAATAATAAAATGACATCTCTATCCACAAAAAGTAATTATTAAAATGGATAAAATAGTCCTTTTGTAAAAATTTCTCCCAGCCAAAAAGTTACTTACCACCTATATTGGAGATGGAAAATTTTACCCAGAAAAATAAAAATAATTTTACCGTAGGGCCTATTGCTTAATGCAAAGAGAATATAAAAAATTTAGCCACTGACAAACTTTTCCATATATATTTAGCTACAAACGAATGGGGCCTAGGTATTTATCACTGAATTCAAATAGGGAGTCCATTTTGGGAAGAAACCCTTAATATAAATTATCTCAGACTCCACCAAATATCTCTACCCATAATGGTTCTTTACCAACCTGGCCCACTTGAATTTCTTGTTGGACTGCCCCTCTACAGTCTAGGCCATGACAAAACTCTAAACTAGCAGAGAGAAGCGGCTAGTGGGCGAGACAAGCCGAATGCGACAACCACACCAAGACACCAGCAGTGAGCACGCAGCCTAAAAAGGAAGCAATCAGAACGACCCTCCTGAGAAGAGACTAATAATCTGCCTTTCTAAACGGTGGGCACCCTCTTTGAGGGTAGATAGTCCAAAAAAACAAACACAGACAAAATGATCTCAGACACCCAACTAGACTCTTTTTTATTTGTCTTCTGGCCGGTTCTCTTTTGGTTCCCTTAGCTTAATTAGGCGTGCAAACACAGATGCTTGATGGGGATGGATTGGATCACATAATCTTGTTCCAATCTTGAGCTATATATCTCACATCTAACACATTTTTAAGAGGGAAGAGAGAACCAAATTAATGAATTCCTCAAAAACTTATTAAAGTATAGTTATAGAAGTATAGAAATCTTAGAAACTTAACTAATGCATTCCCATATTTAGGCCCCTTTTAGCTGATTTTGATTCAATATGGAGTTCCCACATGAAGGGTTACATTAATTACATCTCTTCCCTTAGACTGGAATTTTCTGAACATTGACGTCTAAACCAGTACCAATCCAATGGTCTTGGGGACCCATGAACAGGGTCTCCTTTTTATGAGCCATTTGATGAAACCCATGATGAGAAACACTTAAATCAAACGGCTCAAGATGACCAAATATAGTCTTTTTCATTTATTGGTGCATGAGTGAGATTATTATTGATTTGATCAGTACAAGACAATATATTGCCACCTGGAAACCAGAACACTTACTTTTAAGGCCAGATTCTCTTCCTCATCTGATGATTATTTAAATGTTTTAATAAGGGCAATCCATTAAGATTTCCCCAGCTAAAAGTCAACAATGACGTGTTAGACTCTCTTGGATCCGTTTAAAAGAACAAGTTGTGTAGATAAATGTCTCCCCACCAAACCTAATATCTATCTTTCTATCCTCCTCCAACCTTTCTAATCATTCAAATCTCTCCTCCTCCAAGAAAACAATGGCCGAAGGTCTGATCCCTTACGTCTACAGGGCAATCAAGAGGTCCAGGAGTCGCCGGAAGTATGAGTGTATAACGTTGGGAAGGGTCCAGACTTTCCCAGCTTATAACTATGGTGAGTTCCCTGCTACCAGCGGACACTACTATCTGGGGCCACCGCCGGAGAAGATGGAAGCTGGACTCCATGAACAGCCTGGTCCCCGACGATACAGGTCTATGGGAGGTTTCTCCAGTGCCCGGTTCTACCCAAAAGAGGACAAAGGTCCTGGTTTATCCAAGGATATGGTGCGTTTTAGCAGCAATCGTTTTCTCTCTTGCATCACTGGTGCATAATATATAATTTGGTTTCTTTCTCAAGTACGTTGTATGTATGAAGTGATGGTGCCAACAACGTCAACTGGGTTGGCTTTAAGTGTCTAGAACTGTATAAAGTAGTCTTGTTTTTCAATCATGTATTTGTGCCTGCAAGGGTGATTGACTGATTGTGTGTGTGTACATATAGAAGTTCCTGCCAAGAATAGTTGTCTGTGGAAAGAGCAAGAGATATATAATGCTTCTCTGTAAATGCTTTCTTTGTTTTGTTCTCGAGAAATTGAGAAGAATGATCAATATTTTGAAGTTTTGATGGAAGGTGAAACATATATAATAGTTGAACACATGGCTAATCATACACTTAGATTAATTACTGACCATTTTATTTGATTTTTTTTTTTTTTATGTATGGATCTTGTGAACATGTTCTCTCTCTCCTTCTTTTTCTTCTTCTTCTTCTTAAAATGTTGGGGTTATAATCAATATGGAAGGTAGATGGACTCAAATTGCAACTCCACCAGTTAGAACCATTTTATTTGATTAACTATTTTATGTATGGATCTTCTGAACATGATCTCTCTCTCTCTCTCCCTCCCATTCTTCTTCTTCTTGTTAAACTGTTGGAGTTATAATCAATTTGAAGGTAAATAGACTCATGTTTTTAACAGAATGCAATTGGTTTCAAATTGCAACTCCACTAGCTTGAAAAGAGACACGGAGTTTAGGAGTTAAAATCATTGGAGGCAATTTGAATAGACGAACTCGTTGGAGGTGCAAATTAATCACCTGTTCACATGGGTATGGGGGAAAAATCTAGTACTTAGGTAGCACCATAGCCCGGCATATTGTTGAGATGGCAGCTTTGTAATTACATGCATGGGCATAAGATGGCATTTTTGTAATTGACCAGGACAGATTCTATTGTACCTTGAATGATTCATGATTTATGAGGTGGTAAATATGGACCGTTGCTACCCAGTTTGACAAAGTTCCAAACTTGAATGTCTTTTTGCTAAGAGGTTTACACTCCAATTCCTCAAGGTTTCTTTCTATTAATGTCAACATCATTCTAAGCTGAACTCTTTACGAGTTATTCGAACTCAGTTTGGTTCATTTTTAATCGAATTTGAACTTAATAAAACTCGGTTCATGAGACTTGCAAGTCAAGCTTGAATAATAATAATAAATTATAAAAAATAATATATATTATATATAATATTTTTATTTTTATATATAATAATAACTAATTTTTATAATTCTTAATTTTTTAAATATCAAATAAAATTATTTTTTATATATAAATTTTTTATTTTTATAAAACATTTTTCTCAAATCGAATTTGAGTTTATGAACTTTAGATTTGAGCCGAGAATCACAAATATTTATCCTAATCTAATCAAACCGTCTGAACCGTTTGACCCAGACGATCAAATTGCTGATATGAGAACTGATAGCCACAACGGTTCGTTTCTAGATCGGTTTTTAAAACCTTGAACGATGGGCTAATAGTATTCGAGTAATTCACAATGGCGCCCTACATGCACATCTCAGCGTGCATTGGGAACATCTCCATGTTCTGTGGGGCGCCCACAAATGTGAATTAAGTGGCAAGCTAGAGTGAGAGCAAGAGCTAGTGTAGATTGATACAGGAGATTCTGTGGTTCTGTACACACCACACTACAATCGAACGACACATAGATGAGCTGCACCGCATTTCTGAATGCAATATATCGGACATCACTTATGATACATCATGAAACTGGGACCCGCCACGTATGAGATGTGCGGTGTTAGATGAGTTGGAAAGACATTGGGATAAACTTCAAATCCAGTTCAAGAGGCAGTTGGACTGTTTGCTTTCGTCACAAAAATGGTTTTAGTTCGGTCCAAGACTTACGACAACAGTGGTCTTCGGTCTTCAGTATTCACCGAACAAGAAGGACCCATTGACAGACAGCCGATCCAAAACCGACCCATTGATAGCCACTTAATCGAGCAAAAAGGATTCGGGAGAAGGGTGATGCTGCAGCTGAACCAGATATGACGACCATGATCGACGGAAAGAAGAGAGCATGCGTCACTGGAGGCACCGGCTATATGGCATCTCTACTTGTAAAGTTGTTGCTTGAGAGAGGCTATGCTGTTAACACTACTTGCAGATGCCCTGGTTCGTCTTGTCTTCACTTCTGACATCATTATTCATCTCCTGATTACATGCTAACGAAACTGGGTTGACTTTAATTGAAGTAAGAGAAATCGACTATTTATGTTTATCTCATTTTGGGGTTGCGTGTAGACAACCAGAAGAAAATGTCTCACTTGTTGGAATTACAAGCTTCCTTTGAGGAGCTGAGAATTTTTCGAGCCGATCTGACCCAGGAAGGAAGCTTTGATACTGCTGTGGCTGGTTGTGACTTTGTCTTCCACGTTGCTACGCCGATGAACTTTACTTCTAAAGACCCAGAGGTAAATTTGCTTCCTATATAATTGGATTTTCAAGGAGAGGGGCACCCCTTATGTGTTTGCAAAAAAACCCATGTGAGTTCGTAACTCTACTTCTATTTATCATTAACCGCGCAGAAAGACATGATTAAGCCAGCGGTTCAAGGGACATTAAATGTTCTAAGAGCTTGTGCAAAATCAAACACAGTGAAGCGCGTGATTTACACATCTTCCCTAGCTGCTTCCATGGGCCGAATTAGTGGAACTGGTACAGTTATTGATGAAGGGTGCTGGACCGACGTTGAGTTATTGGCGTCTGAGAAGCCACCTGGTTGGGTAGGACCCTCTGTCTACATGTCATTCCATGGTTTCTTTGTTTTCAAATATCCATCAGCCAAACATGTTGTGTGCAGTACCAACATGATATAGCAGAATGCTCCAAATACATGGTGTTCAATGAATTTGTAAAGTGTTAAAATGAAAACAATTATTTGCTTAGTCTTCCTACTTAGTCTAAACTGACCTCATTGGCATTAACAGGGATATTCAGTGTCAAAGACACTGGCTGAGAAGGCAGCATGGGATTTTGCCAAAGAAAACAACACGGACCTAATTGCCATCCTCCCTCCTCTCATTGTTGGTCCTTCTCTTACACTGGAGGTGTCTGCCAGTTTCTCCTCTGCCATGGCCTTCCTCACAAGTATGAAACTGATTTGTTAGAAGCAGTCACTTGGTGCAATTCTTGATGCCATTTTCTTGCTTCTTTAATGGCTTGTTATGCAACAGGAAACCAATTCTTAATTAACAGCATGAAAAATGTGCAAAAGTTATCCGGTTCAAGATCGATATCACATGTGGAAGATGTCTGCCAGGCGCATATATTTGTTGCTGAGAAGGAATCAGTGTCGGGCAGATACATTTGTTGTGCTGTCAACATCACTTTTTTGGAACTAGCAAATTACCTGAATAGGCGATATCCAGAGTATAATGTTCCTACTGAGTATGCACCAAGCATAAGAACCCAAAATTCTAACCACGTAATAGCTTATATGATCATATTGTAAATCTCTTATAAATGGGAGATAGTAACTGGAATCCATTGATGTTTAACTAATTGCAGCTTCGGAGATTTCTTTGAGAAGGCCAAGGCGATCTACTCCTCAGAGAAGCTTATTAATGAAGGCTTCCGTTTCAAGTATGGGATTGAAGAAATTTATGACCAAGCAGTGGACTATTTCAAGACTAAAGGATTGCTTCCCAAATAAAGGCAAGAAGCTTTTTGTGTACAGGTTGCTTCCAAGATTGCTTAAACCAGGCATATGTCCCTAGCAGAGGTTCCTTACTGAGCCAACAACTTATCACTTTGGATTTCATGCGGGTCTCTGCGATGACTTTCAACCAGTCTTGCATAGACACTCCTAAATGGATGTTGTGTCCATGTCAGACACATATATTGGAGTCCAACATTAATTGTATTCTTGAGGATACTTTTACATGACATTTCCACTTTTATCTCTTTGATTATTTGATATAAATGAACAAATAATGTACAAGATAAATGCCATTTTGTCATATTAAATGTCTAGAAGCCCAAATTTTTCTTCTTGCTGAGACAGAGTCTTGGACCCAAGCGAGCTATGGATGTTTGAACTTGGGCAAGATAGAACATTATGAACCCCACTTAAACATCATTATCCATGGTCTCATTTCATAAGAAGTTGTTTTGATTCTGTTCCTTTCATCAATGCTCTAATTTACTTGATTTTAAATGCAAGAAGTCTAATTGTCTAACTACATAGGTGATCAATAAGCTTTCCTGTATTTATTTCATTTTTACTGGCGACAATGTTGGATGCTTAACAATTTTTGGTTGCCCTTTTTGCTTTTTATTATAATTCACTTTTGAGGGGAGAGAGATGCACCATAACCCTGTATATCTTATTGAACCAGTATTGTTTTGCTTTTATGGTAGTCTAGCATACAACACTTGTTCTTGCATTCTGAACTAAGCTATAACAAAATTAACCAGTCATGATCCATGGAAAGCCTGCATATTGGCTTCAAACAAAAGAAATTGGCTAAACAGTTAAGGTGTTTGCTATATCGATCACAAATCGATATCTAACATCCCCTCTTGCTAGCCTTTCCATTGCTGTGTTCACATAGTCCATGGAAATAACTTCAATATCTGAAGTTATATTATGCTCCCCTGCAAAATCTAGCATCTCTTGAGTCTCCTTCAATCCCCCAATTATACTTCCTGCAACAAGTTTCCTTTCTGAAATCCAAAATCAAAATCAACATAGCTTTCATTATTCATCAACACTTGGAAATAAAGAATCAAATTTCCACAACCATCAACTGTTAAAAAAAACAGTGTCTACACCCAATTTCCATGCCTCGTAAAAAGTTATGGAAACTGTGTACTGTTTATAAGATGAACCATGATAGTAATGCTGTTTAGTTGATACTACTTACCTGTGAGCAAAGGAAATAATGGCAACTGGACTGGCTTATCAGTTGCACTCAAGAATATCAGCTTCCCGTGTGGCTTCAAGAGATGGATCAGGGATGTAATCAGGTCTGGTGTAACAAATGTACTGATGATGCCATCCATTGTGCCCATGGCAGCCTACACCATGTGAAACACATAACTTTATTAAGAAGGGCATAACCATTAACTGACCACTCTACATTCTAGCACACAATTGTTAAGCATGTAAAGACTGGGCTCAGATCATATGCTAATCCAAAGTCTAAACCCAACTTCAAGGCCACAGGGTAGGCCCATCAAAAAGAAAACTCTTTTTACATTAGTACACTATAGCCAAATTACCCATCAAGAAGTAGACCCTAGCTAGCAATCTCACCTGCATCTGTTCAGGGTCACTGCTGACTAAAAACAAGTCTGCACCAAGCCGTTCAATTGCTTCCTTCTTCTTGCTCTCAGATCTACTGATCACAGTAACCTTCATTCCAAAAGCCTTGGCAAACTTCACGGCCACATGTCCGAGTCCACCTAGCCCAACAACACCCAAGTGTTGTCCAGATTCATTCAGTCCATAATATTTCATGGGGCTGTACACTGTAATCCCAGCACACAGCAGTGGTGCTCCACGGTCCAGGGGGAGATTGTCAGGGAAGTGGACAACAAAGTGCTCGTTAACAACGATAATATCCGAGTATCCGCCATAGTTTCTTGTGCCATCATTGAAGATGGTGTAAGTATTGATTCTCTTGGGACAGTAATTCTCCAAATCCTGCTCACAGTTACTGCATCTGCGGCAAGATCCAATCAAGCACCCCACACCCACTCTATCTCCAATCTTGAATTTTCCTACCTTGCAGCCGATTTGTGTTACCACACCTGCAATTTCATGCCTACAGTAACGGTTGAACTCCAGTTATAATCTTTAGTTCAAGCAGAGAGCACATGGTTCTACTTCTACACCATGTGAAAATAGAAAAAATAACAGAGAATTAATGTTTGTTGTGTTGATTACCCAGGAACAACAGGATAGATAGAGAACCCAAGTTCATCCTTAATGCTGTGTAGGTCTGAATGGCAGATTCCACAGTAGATAATCTTCACAGTGACATCTTCATCTCCATTGGTCCTGTAAACCAAAACAACACACCCTTATCAGTTCTCAGTTAAGAAATATGGTTCTTCACATATTGCATAATATATAATCACACCTTTTAGTGAAGTGGAAAGGGGAGAGAATTCCTGAAGAGTCTCTTGCTGCCCAGCCCAAGGCCTTCTGAGTGTTCTCTTCTTGAGAGTTCGACATGTGTATGTGTGTGTGAGAGAGAGAGAGAGAAAGAGAGAGATTGCATCCAGAAATCAGCTTACTTGAGCTTGGCATATATACAAGGAAGGACATGTAGATATGGGGTAAGAGGTGATGTCTTAATTCAAGGTCAATAAGAGTGGCTTTAGACCTTTGGTATGTGGTAGCTTGGTGCTCGTTTGTCAAGAAATGAATAGCATAATCAATCAAGGTTCAAAATATTGATAAGTATCATATCAGAGGCTTCCCAATACGCCCCCTCCAAGGAGTGTTTCAGGGTTTCAATCGGTTCAAGGGGTGGATGGACCTTAAACCGGCCCCTCTAAACCAGATTAAAAAAAAAAAAAAACTACCAATACCGCCCAATACGCATATCGATATTTTGAACCTTGTAATCAATAATCAACTGCCATTTAATTCATTTATTTTTTGCCTTTTGACTAAGATGCGATGTGCTCCCAATCACTTCCATGTTTTGCTAAATCTCTTCATTTTACAATGAAAAGGTTCTAAAAGAAATTGAATGGTTGGAAAGCAAATTGTTTGTCTCTACTCTCTGGTGTTCTAATTAAAAAAAGACTATAGCACATCAATATTGAACTTCCTTCTTTTTATTTTTTTTTTGGGAAAATCTCTTAAATTACCCCTAAATTTTAGGAAATGGACTTACACACCCCATTTGAAAAATCTCTTATAGTATTTCTAGGTTTTTGGCAATGGAAATTGACTAATTGTCCCATTCCGTCCTCATGTGATTGCACCCAATTTTACCCTTAGCCTGTCTTCTTTTTCATTACTTTCGGTAGAAATTCGACATGGGTATGTATCATCCTTGAACAACACATACTGACCCACTTCTGCTTCTAACATCTTCTCTTTCTCTGGATGTTCTCTTTCTGATCAAATGAACCACATGGGTCAAACTCAGAAGGCAGAGAGCAAGAACAGAATCTACAGGCAACTATTATTTCCTCTGGCTCTGTTTTCTATTCGCACTTAGCAGAAATTACGATGGTTAATTTTGGGTAGAACGGGCACCGGAAAAACCTTCCATAGACCTGTATGGTCGATGACCATGGTGTTCATGGTATCCAGCCATCTTCTCCGGCGGTGGCCCCAGATAATAGTGCCCGCTGGTAGGGAACTCGCCATAGTTGTAAGCTGGTAAAGTCTGGACCCTTCCCAACGTTATAAACTCATACTTCAGGCGAGTTCTGGGCCTCTTGATTGCGCTGTAGACGTAAGGGATCAGACCTCCGGCCATGTGTAGGAGGAGAGACTTGAATCATGCTTAGAAGGTTGGAGGAGGATATAGAGGATGGGTATTGGAATTCTTATCTGAACTAGAAAGATAACTCTGTGCTTGCATTAAATAACCTTTCGATCATGTCTTAAACCAAAACGAGATTTTTAATTTTTAACATATCAGATTTGGGGATAGAAGTGGGGATGAGGATGGCTTTGAGTTTTGATTGAAAACTAAGAAACTCCATTGCTCAACCTGGTATCTAAAGTCCAATTCATCGACCCAGTTCAGTTTTGACTAAAAACTGAAGATTTCCGAGAAGACTTCGGCTAAAAGATCAACCATTACTGTTCTTGTTGGTGGCATTTCCTGGTTCTTAAATCTCTTCAATTACTACGTTAATTCCGACGAACAGGGCGTTTTTAGCAAGGAACTGCAGCTTGACACCAAGGTGTTTAAATTTGACATTGGTAAGGAGAATAAATGGGATAACTTTTTGAAGGTTTCAGAAGCTTCAATTAGCAGGAATCGTAGCAAAATTATTGTTTCTACTGGAAGTGCCCGTGATGAAGGGTGGGTTTCATTCAGGAACATCTTAGTAGAGATCAATGAAGCTTCAAGGCTTTTTATCTTACCCAATCAGCAAAAATTCTGAACCTTCAGAACGCCTCGTGGGTCTCTCCGCTAGTTCGATGTAGGTGCTGGCTTCATTTCTGGCCATAGTAGTCAATCTGTGCCAACGTCAGATGAAATTGGTAACTTGGGAGTTTCAGCTGATCAAAAGAGGTTCTTATTTGATCTTGGGAGCAACAATGGGGGACACTTCTTGAGGATATCTGAGGTGGCGGGGGCTGATCGCTCTTCCATCTTATCTGGGCTAAAGCAGTTTCATGAAATGGTTGGTCATTTTGGGAGATTAACAGAGATCGTATTGGAAGTATGAGAGGTGCAAATGTCCGAACAGTTGAGCCCCCACAGATATGAACCTGAAGATCGAGCTAAGGCTTTGGTGAAAGTTGTGAATCTTTCATTTTTATTGGATGATCTATTATTGTCTGTTTGATCAGGGCTGCGATTGTGCTTTCTTGTTCTTCTCTCCCCCCTCCCCTTTTCTTGCCGCAAGTGAAGAAATTGAAGTTTGTCAAACTTCCAACAAAGGAATAACGGAGAACATATCTGAAATTCTGTAATTCTTGCATCTATGGAGACGTGGTGAGGCATTACACGTAGAAACACTTACCATGAGAAGACAAATCAGAAATCTGGGTTAGATCAAAGGAAGAGGAGAGGATGCATGAAGTAGAGAGGTAAAAATTTCAGGATATATTTTGAAAGGGAAAATCTATGATTCTGGAAAGATATGATATGGGAAGAGTTTTGACCAATCAAAATCCACCTATGAATTTTGATAAACAACGCCTGATTGGTTACCACGTTTATGATTTTTTGTTTGTCTACGTAATTTAATAAAAACTAATATTAAAAGTTATTATAATGATTAATAATTAATTAATAAATAATTTATGTTAATTAATAATTAATTATAACCATTATTATTTAGTAATTAATATAATAGTTAATAATTAACTAACAACTAATAATTAATTAAATATTCATTATTAATTGTATTATAAATTAATAAGAATTACTATAACAATAATAATATTTGATATTTAATTAATAGTTTATTTATTACTAATACTAATTATTATAATTACTAATTAATTATATTAATTCTTATTAATTCATAATTAATAGTAATTTATAATTAAGAAATTATTATTATTATTATTATGAATTAATTATTAATTTTTTGTAATTCAATAAAGAAATAATATTAAAAATGTTATAAGGATTAATAATTAATTAATATTTAATAATAAAGATTATACTAATTAATTAGTGTTAATTAATAACATTTATTACTTCATAATTGTTAATTATTAAATAATACTAATTAATATAATAGTTAATAATTATTAACAACTAATATTTAATATTTAATTAAAATTTAAGTTATAACTAATACTAATTATTATAATAATTAATAACTAATAATTGTGAATTATTAATTATTAATTGTTAACAATCAGTTATAATAATTTTTATTAATTAATAATTAATTTACTATTAATACTAATTATTATAATAATTAGTTAAAAATAAAAAATTTATAATTATTAATAATTATTATTTAGTAAGTAAGTAATAATAATAATAATAATAATAATAATAATAATAATAATAGTAACTAATGATTAATGACTAATTATTATAATAATAAGTATTAATAAATTATTAATTATTAATTAACTTATAATTATTATTATTATTATTATTATTAATTATTAATTATTATTATTGCATATGAGGCCCTTGAGCTATAAGAGGGAGAAGTATTTTGGGTTATAGGGGTATAATTGGAAAACAAAAAAATATAAGATTCCACTTCATGAGATAAGAAATAAGAGGAAACAAAGAGCCATGTTCCTCTTAAAGTTGCAAGATTTCTCTTAAGAGGTAAGAATTAAGAGGAAACAAACAAGCCCTAAAACACACACAAAAAGGAGAAGAAAGAAATGCTAATAGCTAAAAAAAGGGCCTAATTATAAGAATGCATTAGTTAATTTTCTAAGATTTCTATACTTCCATAACTATGTTTGAATAAGTTTTAGGAATTCATTAATTTGGTTCTCTCTTCCCTCTTAAAATTGTGTTAGATGTGAGATAGCTTGAAACTGGACAAGATTATGTGATCCAATCCGTCCCCATTAAGCATCTATGTTTGGGTGTATGAGATCATTTGATCTGTGTTTTCTTGGACTATCTACCCTCAAAGAGGGTCACCGATTAGAAAGACATATTATTAATCTCTTCCCAGGAGAGTTCCTATCAGCACCAATGGCTACTTTTGCAGGGGTGCGTGTGGATTTGGTTCAGTCCGATCTGGTTCAATATGAGCCCATTAAAGATGGACTATGTCCAATCTAATCTAATATACTCTGGATTGGTTTTAATTAGACTTGTTCATGAGCTAGGTAACCCAATGGCCCAACCCAGCATGGTCCGTTATTTTTGGGCTTGGACAAAATTTCAAGCCTGTGGGTTCGGGCTCGGGCTTTCTCAAATAAGCCCTGTCCAGGCCCTAGCCCGGCCCGACACTATTACATATAATAAAAAGTACATGTGTTATATATAATATATATTTGTTTCTTAAATTATTAGTAAATATTAATTTACTACTAGAAAATAAAAATTAGTTTATTAATTTATTAAATTATTACTAAATTAATATAATATTAGTTTATAAAAGTATATTGAAAATAAGACATTTTGTGTACAGATCGGGCTTTGGGCTCGGGCTTAGGCTTTAGGCTTTATATAAGGGCTGGGCTCGGGCTCAAGATCTAGGCCTGATGGTTGGGCCGGGCTCAAGCTTAGGCTTGCACATTTTCTGTTGATAAAGAGGCAAAGCCTAGCCCAAGCCCAGCCTGGCCCGACCCATGAACAAGTCTGGTTTTAACCCAAGCCTAGTCCATTGACACCTGTATTCTTATCCTCTATCAATGGACTGGATATTGGTTCAGTCCAACCCAATTGAATATAAATTCATTATAGATGGACGAATCCCAATTCAATCCAATAAATAATTTGGACCATTAAATCTAGACTGGTCCAATTTGATATGTCCTATTGGTCCATCTAATCATCCAAATTGATTTTAATTTGGATGGGGTCCAAGTTGGACCGTCCAACCCAAAACCGGTCCATTGACAACCCTAGTACTCATTATATATTTGATAATGTGGCAAAAGCAAAAATGATTTTCTGCAAGTCAGTTCAAAGTACCAGAACCATCATCTTTTTGCATCAAGTCATGGTTTCACATGCCACAAGTATCAGCATGAATGGTTCATTAACCCAAACCTCTAGAAAGATTCTCAAAACACGAACTAATAAGCCTACCCATGATCAACCAAGTTACTTTGGAAAGCTACTTACCAAATGGTTGGTAATATCAATCCCAAGTGTTCCCTTAAAATTCCTTAAGGCTGTGTTTGGTTTGAAGGGAAAAGTAGAGAAAGGAAGGGAAAGGCAGGGAAATCATTACAAACCTTGTATAGGTTTCCTTGCATTTCTCTTCCTTTCCCTACATCTTTCTTCAAACCAAACATAACCTAAAAGAAAAAGAAAGAAAGCAAGAATATATATGCAATTTAAAGAATACTCTGCTATGATTATACTCAAGAGTGGAAGAATCTATTTATGCTTAATTTCTTTAGAAGTATCTTGGTTTACTTATTATTACCAAGTGAGAAATGGATACTTGTAATGTTCTAGACCATTAGGATCATTCTTTCTATTTTAGTCTATCATTATAAGAATACGTGCAGTAGTGCCTGAATCCATTAACCAAAATTATTTTGACCTGAAAATTGAATTAATTGAATCAAGTATATCTTTGTTGACCTGAAAGGCTGACATCTTAATATCCTAAATGCTGTGATATTTATGTCCGCATAAGCTATTACCAAATGACCCTTTAGCTTGTCAAATTCATACTATTGGACCAGCTGGCCACGTAAGAAATATCCTCTTAGGCCCCTTTTGTTTTTTTTGGAGGTAAATGCACTTACCCAGATAAGTGTTTCTTAGAAAATACTTATCCGGGTGGGTGCATTTATCAATGTTCTTTTATTTCTCAGGTAAATAAGACGATGACCATTTTAATCATAAAATTTCATTATTAAAATGGACAATTTTCTCTCATCCAAATTTTGGCAACATTCCCCCAAATGAGAAAGTTACTTATCCACGTGGAAGATAAGTATCACTTAAATCTGAAAAAAAGAACATGGGTATCTTGCTTTTCCCATTGACCAACTTTCCCCTCTCAAAATCCAAAAAATGAGCAGGCCCTTAATATTATCATTTCAATATCTTAGCACCCAACTATACAATTGGAATTGGAATAGCCCATTCCGTTTGATTCCAAACTCCTATTATATTCTTGCGAACCAAACGGGCCTTAGGGGATAATATAAAAAATAAAATCATTTCTAGTATATTTTATTAATTAATAATATCCCATGTTATTCTCAGATATAGTTTAATGTTTAAATGAAGATAATATCTGAACCCAAAAAGATTTCATTCAAAACTGAATGCTCAGAGTGCAACCCCGGGCAATTTGATTGCTCAGTCCAGGCAAATTACAGTTGAGGACTTTGGGACAGACCAAGTCCCAACCAAATTGGTTTCAGTTCAGCTCTATTTCTGGTGCAGTTATCATGGGATTTGCTGTGATTTTAGGGGTGAAGAAATCTCTGAATATTGATGTTGCTTCACTTCGAAGCCCAATTCTCAACATGGACAAGCAAACTTCATGAAACCTGGAGTATCGTTCATGTATCGTGTTTTGATTTAAATGAAAACAGAAAACATTACTGTTAGTAAATCAAAATGCATTTCAATTAAGGATTGCCTACTTAAATAAAAAAAGAAAAAGAAACTATAAGGTGGTGTTTGGTGCATCTTTTTGATGTGTTTTTGGGTCTGCAGGAAGTTCAAAAGACTAGAAGATTGGTCTTTTCCTGTTTGGTGTCACGTAGACCAAAAGACCTGAAGATAAGCATGTGGAAAAACCAAAAAAAGCTGAAAATTAGAAAGCTTTAAATGAAACTTTTGGTCTTTCCACACTGAAAATAACCTTCCCAGCTGTTTTTAACAGCCCGATAGGCCACGATGTGAATCAACCAATCTTGATCCCCAAAAGCTCAGTACATCTTCTCATCAACTAAGCTGTTAAAAGATCTACCTAGAAAGACTTGCCAAACAATCCCTAAATTAATACTTTTAGGGTGCCAATTTTTTTTCTTTTCTCAAACACAAGATCTACCATTTCTATAAATTCAATATAAGCTTGCAAGCTTAAATGATTGATTTTAAAGTTATGTTAACGGTGAGACATTGTAAAGACCATTCCCATTGGGAATGGGATGTGGACACTGAGATGGAGGAGTGCAATTTGGGCCAGGTTAGCCTGAACCCAACCCAAAAAGTGAGGTTAGGGTCATCAGTGTTGAAAAATATGAATCCAACTTGACTTTGGATTGGGTTAGGATAGAAGATTTGGGCAACCCAAACCCAATAAATGTTAGATAAATATATATGTATTTATCTATATACCTATCAATAATTTTAAGTTTAAAGACAAAAAACTTTATAGTTTAAAAATATTCTTGAAGCACTATAGCTTTGTCCTTGTACATGTAATGATGTCAAAATCAGTTAACCTTAATTTGCTAATCTTAAGTCTGAGATAAGAACATTTGTAAGAGAGAGAAATTAAAAAATTCAGCCAATCTGAATCCAACCAAACATAAATCATTTGGATTTGTTTAAGCTGAGTCTGGAAAGAGTCAAAATACAAATATATACTGTGCAAATACATACAAAATAATGCAAAATATAAGGTTTTACACTCTACATATTTGCATTTATACTCCTTCCAAACCGAGCCTTAGGGTTGACCTCAAACGCGACCTAACCCAACCGGACTTACACCGCTAACTGAGGTAACGATCAAAAGGAATACATGGTATGGAGCCAGCTTTATGAGGTTCATGAACCAGTTACACCACTTAAGGACTCTGTTGAGTCAGTTATGAAGAATAGTGTGGAAATGCAAGTTCTAATTAGACCCAAATTCCTTGTGCTTGAAGTAAGTCTTCCCTCTTCCAAGGAAACCACTGCCACAAGTATGGGAAGGAACAAAAAAGACGAAGGTAGCTTCTCTTGTGTCTACTTTTGGTCTTTTGCTTTATAAAGCTTACTGTGATGGCAAGGATGATTTAGATCAAAGTGATAGTGTACAAGGAATATTGTAGTCCAACCAAAAACAATAATGGAAAGATGAACAGCTTTGCTGTCTAGGCCCTGTTTTGAGTGTTTTTGGTGCAATCCATCCAATGCTGTAGGCCCTGGTGAGCTGATGAAACAACAGTAGCGAGTTATGGGGCCCATTCCGGTCCTGTGGCCTCAAGTCTCTCTGTCTTTCTTAGAAATGGTTATTTGACCCATCCCCGTGGGGCCCTGCTTCAACTGAGGCAGGTTTTTTTACCATTGATCGGGGTTTGAGGTGGGTTTTAATCAACCGATATTCCAAAATTCAGCCTGGACAAACGATTCCCAGCCATTTGGTTTTAATCAATCCTTTCCTTTCCATGGCTATCTCATAATGGGCTTTGAAAAATCTTTGAACCCATGAGCTAAATGGGCCAGTTCATGAAGCCCATGATGAAAAAACATTGAAATCTAATTTAGGCTGCATTTGGAAGCGATGTAAACCAAGAACCGATGTAAAATTTACATCGGGTCAGTTTTGTAGGGTGTTTGGAAGGAGTGTGTAATTATGATTGACATAAAATTCCACACCGGTTCAGTTTTGTGTGTGTTTGGATGGAGTAGAGTTTTATGTCGATAATTGATGTAAAACCTCATCAAACATAAAGTCTTAACTTTACACTCTTCCACCCATCACGTTTTTCAAAAAATCAACGGTCACTTTCACGATTAAGTGTAAGATACTACCAATGTATTTTCACACCAATGATGATTTACACTGATTCCAAACGCAGCCCCAAGAGTTGACGTGAATGGCAGTATAGCACTTGCACCAAACGCTTGTAGATGTAATAGACAAACTTCTTCTCCTTTTCTAAATAAAAAGCCTTCGTAGGTTGTTCCTTGTAGCATTCAATTTTGATTGAGTCAAACTAACGTCTAGGCTGCCATAAAACCATGTGTGAAGATTACTAGATCAGTAAGTTCTTCAATTTTCAAAGCATCCAACATCCAAGTTCTTCTGCAATTGCAAGAGCTTTCATGGAGGGTCTCATCCCTCTGGTTTACAAGACCATCAAGAGAAGCAACACTCGTCGGAAATACAAGTGTCTCTCGTCCGGAGCTGCTCAAGGCTATAACCATGCCGCTGATTTTCAGGCCGACCGTCACATATATTTGGGGCCACCGCCGGAGAAGTTTGCTGGACTCAATGAAGAATATACTGGTCACCTAAGAAGCCAAACGGTCAAAGAATTGTCCGGAGGGTTCTTTTCCTCCCAGCCAACCGTCAAGGAGCCTCGTTTGTCAAAGCAATTGGTGCGTTTTCGAAGCTACCGAATGTTCTCCTGCATCAATGGTGCATAGTGCAGAGAGAGAGAGAGAGAGAGAGGCATTAAGGTTTGTTTGGATTATATTTTTAATTTTGTTATTTTGCTTTGCAAGAAAGTAATGTTTCGACTGATGCTCAAATGCTAAGAGGATTCAATTTTCCTAAAAGTAGTTTTTTTTTTCTTTTTCTTTTCTTTGAAAAGTGTTTTATAAAAATACTTTAGCATTTGAAGGGATATTTTCTTTCTTGTCCATTTGAAAATAAACTTCCTATAATGATCTTCTTTTTAGGCTCTATTCTTTCGGAACCTACTTTTCTAGGTAAGTGTACTTACCCATGTTCTTTTTTGTTTAATTTACCCCGGTAAATATATCTTTTAGAGGCATTTTTTACGATTTAATTTTATTTTTTCATTTACCCACTTTTTGGGAAACTCAACTTACCCAAGTATGAAAAGGGTATCACTTACCTGGGTAAATGATACTTGGAAAAATCAAAATTTCCATGGGTCCTACATGTTTCTAAAATAAGAACATGGGTAAGTTGGTCTATAGGAACCACAATCCTAGACCTAGCAAAAAGTTGACCCAACTCGCGAACCCAACCCAACCCGAAAAACTGGCTTAGGGTCTCATATTAGCTACCTGAACGTGAGAATGACCCGACCCAGGGGTAGAGCTAGGAAATTTTCATGAGGGGGACCAAAACCTAAGGTGGATTGGGGGGAGGGGGGGACAAATATGGATGATCATAAGGGGGGGCCAACCCATTGGAGTGGGAAATGGGGGAGGGAGGAATTTACATGAAATAGTGAGGATTTTTTGGCCATAGGGGGGCCATGGCTCCCCTGGGTCCCCCTGGCTCTGCCCCTGACCCGACCCGAACCAACCCAAAAAAAAAACTGGGTTGGGTTTGGGTCATGGGTCAGCCCGCTGACCCGATTGTCAACTCTAATTGGGACTATTTATGCATTGTTAGAAGTTTCCACTCTGTAAGTTTTTCTATTTAGTCTTTACTCTTTATTGTTTATTCTTTAAATTGTTAAATGTTCAAGTTTTTTTATTTATATTTGGAATTTTAAAAGTTAATTCTTTTAATTTTGGAATTTTTCATGTAGTTTTTCTTTATTTTTTTTTTAATTTCAGTTATTTTTTGGGATGACCTGAATTGACCCATGGGTCAACCCTAACCTGAACATTTAGGGTTAGGATCTAGCATTTGATAACCCAACCCAAAATCAACCCAAAGTGTGTTGACCCAACCCGAACCCAACCCACTCAATCCAATTTCCAGGTCTAAGTGACCAACTCCACCCCCCCGCCCCACGTCTCCACGCCATTCAAAATTCCAAAAATGAACAGGGCCTTAGTAGACAGATAACTTGTTTCTTGTTGGGAAAATAAAATAAGAATTTATTCAAATTAAATATAAATTCATCATGGTATGGAATGGAATTCGGTAAGGGGTCTACCTGATTCGATATAATAAATATTTAGGGGCATTTGAATTTGATATATAAGAACCTATCAGATTTTGCAACATGTGATTCAAATTTTATCCATTCCATCTTAACATTTATCTGATTTGAATCTATGATAATTTACATTTCATAAGTTAGGGGAGAGTGAAAGAGATAAAAGTTATTGGCTATGGTTATGGGTGGATTCGAGCCAACTCGAGCTGAATATCTAGTTATTCAAGCTTGGCTCCCCAATAAACTATGAGGCTCGAGCTAGAGACTTGAGCTCGAGTTTGGCTCGAGTCAAAAGCTCATAAACTCAAGCTCGATTGTTAGCCAAATGTTTTATAAAAAAATTATACATATACAGTTTTTTATTTGACATAAAAAATTAAGAAGTATAAAAGTTAGTTATTATTACTATGTATAAAAATAAAAATATTATATATAGCATTTTTTTATTTTTTATTATATATGTATATATGTAAAAGCTTGATTAGGCTCGCAAGCCTTATGAGCCGAACTTTATTGAACTCCAGCTTGACTCGATTAGCAAACAAGTCTATATATTGGGCTCAAGCTTGGATCGAAGCTCAATTTAGACTAAGCCGAATCAAGTTTTTCACAAGCTGAACTCAAATAGCTCATGAAAAGTTCGATTCATGGTTTATTGCGCATGAGAAAGAGAGAGAACACTTACTTACAAGTTGGAATTGGTAGTCAATTGAAAAGCTTAATAAGCAATGGTGGATTGGTGGCTAGCTGCCAATGACACGAGGAGGAACTATGATGGCTACATGCAAAACCAAGAGGCAAGAGGTTAAACAATTGAAGAATGAAGGAGCTCTGTCTCCAATCTCCACTCTCAACGATGGCACAAGCAAAGCTAGGGTTTTTGGGATAGAACTTGGAAGTCAGTGTCTTGAATGAAAGAAGAATAGGGAAAAGAAAGAAATGGAAAAGGTCCAAAACGATTAGGGAATAGGGATTAGGCTTATAATTAAAACATTAAGCCAATTTATATTTTTAGACATAAAAATATAAAATTACAAACCTGGTAATTTTTTTAATGGATGGATCATATCTTAGTAAATCAAATTAGGGGTATATTCAAACTCAATATGTGAATTAAATAGGTCAACTTTTCTGATTCGATTCAATTTGTGAAGATTAAGGGGATATCCAAATCCAACTCTTACCATATCAAATTTGGATTCAAATCAGATCAAATGATCAGATCCGACTAATTTGCAGCCCTACCTAAACACCATCTCTCACAAGCCATTACTTGGTATGTGTTCGGCATCAATATTTTTTCCTTAGAAAACGACTCCACATCAGAAATCTATTTTTTTTGGAAAATGTATGTAGTTTGGTTAGTCATTTTTTTTTAAATTGTTTTCTCATATCATGCCTTGGAAATCAGGAAAGATGTGCTATGAGAAAATGCCCTTTTTTATGTTTTCCCATTTTCCCATTATTGCTGCCAACAATATGCTAACATGGCATTGAAAATGCCTATATAGAAGCAACAACAATGGTACCAAATAGAAAACTTGAGAAAACAACATGCTTATGCAATACCTTTTTCGAATAAAATGCTTGTTGGAAAACGGTATTGGTTCCAAACACTACCATGGTTTTCAAGACTAAATGATAGATTTAATTAATAGTTTGACATAGGGCTTGAGTTGCTTGACCATTTCTGACACATTGCAAGTAGACCCCCTTTGTTAGAACCCTCTAACAAGAGGTATGAAAATGTCTAAAATACCTTATGGTTACTTTTGATCAAAATGTTTATTTTCCAAAATTTTTCTTCATATAAATCACTACCCCAAGCCTCTCCAATTTCTTTTCGGAAATTGATTTTTTTTTTCAAATTTTTTGTTCTTATCAATCACTCAAAAGTAAAACTACAATTTCAAACTCTTTTTTTTTGTTGTTCATAAAGTTTATATTGTTTTTTTTTTCCTGTAGAAATCAGCCTCCATAATAACTGCTTGGGTATTTTGGACATTTTGTGCCTTTTATTGGAGGCTTCTAATAAAGGGGGTCTACTTGAAACTATGTCATAAAGTTCAAGGAAGGTGATTGCAATTATCAAACTTTAGGAGAGGTTTCAACAACTGTCAAAAACTTCAGGGGAGGTTTCAGCAATTACCCATATTTATTTACAAATGAACAAATAACCACCCATGAACAACATTGTCACGGGGCTAGTTGTTGGGGCCTTGTGCGACACCCGAATGTGTTAAGTAAGCCTAAGTAGCAAAGCAACAACACACAAAAAGGCAACAAGATGACACACGAATTAGTAAGGCACTTCTGTATTATAATAGATGGCAAGCACAAGCACACAAGTTTGTGTTGAGGGGACCTCATCCTTAACCTTTACACGGTCTTGGCACCACTCAACTACCTACCTCCCCTCAAAGAGTAGCTTAAGCTTTTGGTGCTCTGACAAAAGATTACATCAAAATATTAAAGAATCATACTACATAATTGCAATAATGCCATGGGCATCTCCTCCATACAAAATACATGTGTAACCCCACCCAAGACACACTTGATGATACTCTGATGGCACGACAAAGGCACTTGATGGCGTGAAAAAGTGGTCACTTGTGACAGTCTCCCCCACTCAATTTGGTTTTCATCCTCAAAGACTAGCTCTGGTGTGTTGCTTGAGTCCACTAGTGGTGAAGGAGGGTTCCTCTACTGATCCACGAGCTTCTTCTCTTCCAAGGCCTAGGCAAGTGTTTTGGTGAAGGGTGCTTCATGTGAAGGGGAAACCTACGGCCAAGTCCTAGGTTAAGTCCTTGGCTAGCGACTTGAAGGTAAGTCAAGCGTGGCTTGGTTTGGCTTGCGCTACTAGCTAAGGTAGGGATTGGTGCAAAAGATGAATTTAGGTCAAAAGGATGTTGGATATTCATGGGTGTTCCCCAAGGTTCTCTCCTCATAGGGCTACTATGTGGGCAAATAGATGGAGGCCGAATGTTGGGATGTTTCCTAGGGTGTGTGGGTGGCACTATCTTCCCATAGTGACTGATAAGGTTAGTATTGGAGTTGGCCTTGGGTCTTCTCTTTGGCCTGCTAGTCGGGGCTGTAGGTAGCTTCATCGTTGGTTGTAAACGTGGTTGTGGCTGGTGTTGGCGCTGATGTTGACGCTAATGATGGTGCTGGTGCGGGAATGACTTTGGTGGAAACTTCTTCTTGGTGATGACCTCCCAACCCATTCCGGTGCTAAAGTGAGATGTTGAAGTGAGGGTCTTCCTTGTTGGCATGGCACTGGTTTTGTGGGTGTCTACTTCTTGGAAGTATTGTAGGGCTGAAAGTTGCTTCCCGTGCACCTTGAGGGCTGTTGTCACTAGAACCATGCAAGGAGAACACTCATCTAAGATGAGTAGGCTGTTGACGTGTGGCATGAGTGCTGCTTTCGCCTGTGTGAGAAACTCTATTCCCAGGACAACCTGAAAATCATCCAAAAGTACTACAGATAGATTGATGGGTCCTTTCCACGACCCAACTTGGAGCTCTACTCCATGAGCCATGCCTTCTACTGCTTTGGCCCCT